AATTTTAACGATGAATTGAAGGACTAACGAGCAGTTAAGCAAGCATCAAAGGGAGCAAAATAAAGGATCAACAATATGAAGGAAAGAAGATATGTTTTGTATCTTCAAGTTCATCTTGGAATGTGTAGCCAAGCTTGCTAAAATTCAATGATATATTTCGTTTAATTAGTATGTCTCAATAGAGATCTTTTTTGCTTTCACTACCTATAATTCCTTTAGTTCTGTCCACATTTGATGTGTATTAGATTGAGCGAGTAACAAAAATTTGGTATAGTGATTATGCTTACTCCTCGATCAGCATTTGGAGCGGCATACAAGATTTGCAAGTTTAGGAAAAAAGTCTCAGCTTTGTTACTCTAATCTATGAGTTATATATAACTATGGATATCAACTTTCACAATTTATTCAGAAAACGTACTATAGACGGCTGATAATTACTTTCTATAGAGAGGAATCACGCTACATAATGTGTGACTTGAACTCGTGTAGATGTGTGAGGTAAAATTCTAACTTACAGACTGATTTACACTTTGAATTCAACCAGACTTCGAAGCTCATTTCACTTCTTTCTTCATGCATACTTTCAGTTGGTGATTGCAAAGACAGGTGCCAGTGCCAACAGCAAGAGATTGAAAATGCATTAGTTTGGGTAACTTACTGACCCACTTTTGAGAACCGAGCGGAATGAGACGATGATGTTTTTTATTGATTCTAGCTCCAACCTAGGTTATTAGACGTGTCACAACCTCCAATTTCAATTTAACGTGTGGTGATTTCTCATCAAATCTCAATACCTTGCATACTATATGCTACACCATTATACTGTACATCAATTCGAGGTCCACACTAATTGGATATACATATCTGCAAATTACAAAATCGTCCGCAGGTCCGGTAATAATTGAAACTACTTTTGCTGTCCCTTTGCAACTGCAGCAAGTTCCTCACATACATTAGATATTCATTTACACATTTATGCTTTATATATAAGACAACTAGGTCTAGAAGGTAAAAAGTTAAAATGAAACAAATTAAAATTTCATTATAATGTCATTCTCATCAGTCATAGGTGTGAAGAATCATAGGGTCTAGAAGGAAAAAATACCAAAATATACTTCAAGTTTATTATAATATTTTTCGGAGAAAATATCCCCATCTTTAACAGTTGACCTCAAGTATTGTGTAGCGTCCACCGATTACACTTTATTTGATTAGAATATGAGTCTTTGACTGCCAATGACTAAGCATTGATCCTCCGGGTTAGAATACGGTCAAAAGAAGAGAGGACCACAGCATGATCGAAAGTCGTTTAATGGGATCTGAGCAGACAAAAAGTTCGCAGCCATATATCAGGATCTCACATCATCTCGCGATGGAGTTGCAGGAATGGTCTGTTGGAATTTTTTTGGTTGCAGGTTGACGTTATGTCTGATTCTTGACAACGGCAGAATTAAGGAGGGTTTGAGAACTCATGCAGTGTTTACACCGTATACAATCTTCCCAGAGATATGATCCGTGCAATCCTCAACGTGGATACCAACAAACATCTTTGATGTATGTTATAGAATCATATTTAAAACAGTTATTACTACAACATTCCTGTGTAAACCAGGGCGTGACAAACTGGTTTGAATACAAAAACTACTCACTAATCATATTACTGACTTTAACCAACTTCGATTAAAGCTGAAGAATTTTTCAAAGTATATGGTGCATTTTTTTTTGGATACATTACGAAAATTTGCATTCATAAATTGTAGTTTTTCATGTTCCATAAAAGCAATGACCTCAAAAGCTTGTCACAATTCATGACCAAATGACCAATTGGAAAATACGGTGAGACGCTGTCTGGACTCAGTTTGTGTATCGAATTCGGCCTTCTCTCAAGCAGTCCTTCACGTTTGAGTCTTGGATACTGACGAACGTGTGCATGCGACTTGATCTCATGCACACATAAGAATCTGGGAGACGTGTGGTGTGAAACTGCATTGTTGCTTGCATGACAGCACATACAGGGGTATGTCATATGGCCGACGCTACGTTGAGGAAGAGAACATGACTGCACGTACTACAAACGATCGACAGCTGGTTTACATCAGTTGTAATTCTTTGATCTTCATCATGTTGAAGTATGTAAGCTTATGATACACAGAGTCTATATCTTCGTCCATTGCAAATGATATTCTTGTACCATCTAAACGGTTTGGGCTTAGTATTACCTCGCTTCGTGCTTTGGTAAGAAGTCATACCTATTGGCATCTGATAACTGAATTACTGTAGACAGATTAAACTGATGTTTCGGCAGAGGGCTGAGTCTAACCAGGTGTAGATGTGTGTAGAAATCTAGACAATCTAGCCAATCTAGCCATCGGCTGCAAACTATGTTCTATGTGGATACGTTACAGCAATTCTCCAAGGTGTGTAGGTCTTCGCGTTTATAAGTGCCCAGTTGATTCGATATTTTGTAATCTTCGGACCACTCAATGCCATCGATGTGAGATTGCAGAGATTATCATACCAAAATCTTATAGGTTTTGGTGATTATCGCATCAAACTTACCATGATTCCAAAATTGTGATACCCAACTCACTGGAAACGGGTAATATCTTTCATTTCTCCTGGAGTATGCAAGATTCGAGACAAGTTTTCCAAGTTTAGAATGTAGACGCCTTACCCAGTTTGGGTGCGTGACAATACTCTGCCAATTCAAGTGTACTCATAGCTCGTTTATACATTTTATACTCGTTACTCACTTTGGTTGCGTGACAACACTATGCCAATTAAATTTACTTCATACTTTGCGTCTGGAATGAGGTGTACATTGTTAGAGGAAGATTGAAACGAGCGTTGGAAATGTGCAGACCGTTCCAATATGAGGGCAGTTTGAATGGAAATGAATCAGACGAATGAACAGCAAGACTATCAACATGGTTCGTTCCTGTAGCTGAGTGACATACTTTAGCTTCAAAGGTTTTGGTTCGTCTAGCCGGCATCAGTTCACAAAATACACTGAACTGGACGCACAGGTTTGTTTTCGTGTCGATTCACACTCACTTTCTCTTCCTTTCTCGTTTGTAACGGCCGAACTTCACTGTAAATCTTCTTCAGTTTGTCTAGAGATTGAGAGTTTCACAATCTCAATTCGGACATCATTTCTCTTTCTCCCCACCTGTTCCTCTGAACATCTCCTTTCTTACAAATGGACTCGGATGAACTCTACTTGCCTCTTTCGAGCGGTGACATTCCTCGATTGTGAGACCAAATAAATCTCACTGATTGCAACATTGAATGCACAAGCTAACGAAGCATCTTCGTTATGGACTGATCGTTTACCGTCTTTTATCTTCTTAGTACAATTGCACTACTACAGGAACTTAGGAACACCACAAAGATAAGAAAACTTGAAGAGTGAAAAATGCTATACATTCGGAAAAACTAGAAACATAAGGTTCAATGCGGCTATCACTTCCTACGTGCTGAAACTGCCTTCCAGTGAAATTAGGTGTTCAACAGTACCAAATTAAGATTCGGAGATTCCTTCTATCCACCTCCTTTCTTATATATGAACTCGAATGAACTCTACAGAAGACTTTTTCGAGTAGTGTGAGATTACTCGTTAATCGTTCACCGTCTTCCAACCAGTGAGTACAGGCGCACTACTACAGAAGATTAGAAACACCATCTTGATATGACAACTTACAAGGGTGAATACGCGATACTTTCGGAAAACTACAAACAAAAGGTACAAAAAGGCCATCACTTTCTACAGGCAGCACTTAGGTGAAATTAGGTGTTTTACATTAACCAGAGTAAGACAGAAATTCCTTTTGATCACCTCCTTCCTTGTAATGAACTCGAATGAACTCTACTGAAGACTCTTTCGAATGGTGTGACATTCCTGGGTTGCGAGGCGAGATAATTTCCACTGATTGCTACTTTAAATGCACTAGCTAAAGACGCATCTTCGTTCTGGACATAGATCGTTTACCGTCTTCTAACCTGTGAGTACACAGTAGGACTACCACAGATATTTATAAACACCACAATCAACCTGAATTTAAGAACATCACAATACTATCATAACTTGAAAGAGGGAAAATGTGATGCTTACACAAAAACTATAAACAAATGTACCATGAGGCTTTCACTTCCTACAGGCAGCATTTACCTTCCAGTGAAATTAGGTTTTCTGCACTAACCGAAGCAAAGAGACAGAAAACTGAAGGAAACGGAGAAAAACAAGGTTCATTTCTTAAGTGAGAACGAGACTCCACAAGCCCCACGTGGTAACCTGAATCTTCCTTTGTACTGACGGGACCAAACTAGGATCCCTAGTGAAAACGAGGGCGACCTGTTTGGTCGCTGTAGAGGAACGGTTGACATTTTCGAATAAAATGGTACAAAACTAGACACAATACATACAGAAAGGCTGTCACTTCCGCCGGGCACCAGTTACAAGTGCAATTAGGTTTTCTGCAGTAACCGAAGAGACGGTAATTTCAGGAAAACAAGAGAAAAAAAGGTACATTTCTTTACGTGAGAACAAGTCTCCATAGGCTCCACGTAGTACCCTGAATCTTCCCTAGAACTTAGGAAACCTGGAACCCTCGTGAAATCAACAATGAACTGTCTGGTCACTGTAGAGAAACAGTTGACCCTTCAGGCATTTTCGGATAGCGTGGTACAAAACCAGATGGCTAAGCAAGCATCGACTAAGCACTCAAATCCGAAGTAGTATGTCTCAAGGATCCCAGCCAAGGAACAGGTAGAACTCAGCATGAACCAATAACGAGCCTAGACGTATCAGGCGACTGTAAATATATGGCAACAGGAGAAAGCAAACCTGCCTACCAAGAGGGTGAGACATACAAGATAATGCAGGCAAAGCGCTGTCAACACGACGCTATTTGGGTGACGGAGTAACGAGCCAATCCAACGCAAGGAAGGCATCCAATTAAAATCAGCAATAACTCGACGAAGTTGGCCCCGAACGAGTTGGTAAAGACTCTTCAATTGGAGAACGGTGAAACATATACACCCTGTATGGATCCTCCTGAATGGGGATAAATAGGAATCACCAAAATATGTACTCTCTTCCTGGCTACTAACGGCACTTAATCAGCATAGTATGCTTATGACAGGGATTCCTGCAGCTTGCACACAGATTCCGCGCCGTCTGGCTCGACCAACTCCATCCTACGCTGAAGCCAACGGTGGTTGCCAAAATTGTAAAAACCTGAACTTAAGCCTTTTGCTTCCTGAGCTTGGACATCTCCTTCTTGATCAACGAACTCCTCTGCAGACGGATGTAATCAATTAGGAGGAGAAGACGATACAGCGTTCTTGAGACAACAGTAGTTTCGACCATATGTCAAGCTTCGTGGCTGAGAGTGAATATTTACCTTGATCCTGGCGACCATGACTTTGAAGCGGTCGAAGTCATTTAGGGCAGCCCTTCGCTTTTGAACGATGAGCTTGCGGCCCCAAGAGCTGGAGTCCCACTTGTTGTGGACATCAGCTGCGTCGATAGCAGCCTTCAATTCCTTCTTCAGGGGGTTGCGAGAAATGTCGATCTTGATGTCGGTAAGGGACAGTCTCTTGAAGTTGATTTGAGTTCTCACAATAGTGGGAGAATCAATCAGAGCTCGGTTCTGGTCGATCACATCGACGATTACGACCAACTTGCCGTATTGAGGCCCGTAGTTAACTAGGGCCACCCTCCCAATCTCAACGTAGCGACGGAAAGGCTGCAAAACGGGCACAAATAGGAAATGCTTCGTGAAAATGCCAGAGGAGCTGACAGGAAACCCTGTGACAAAATCAGCGCAAAATCGAGACGAAACCCCAGTGAAATCGAGCGACGACGACAGTCGACGATCACACAATTTGGACACTCACCATTTTGTCGGAATAATTCGAAACCCTGCGGATTGCAGCTCAGAAGCCTGCGCGAGCGAGCGGAGTCGAGAAAGGGGAGAGAAAGAGAAAGGACGAGAACCTGAGCAGGCAAAGCATACACCAGACCGGAGTCGCGAAACCCTAATCCAGGCGATCACGGGCCGTCGATCGACTTCATCGGGGAGAGACTTCTCACGAATTCAATTCACGAATTCCGACTTGGAGTCTGCCGGACTTGAGCGAAGGTATAAAGGAAGAAAAAATAATACACCCCTGTGAGTCCCAAATTCTCGAATTTCGCTAGAAAATTCAATTCCGGCTGCATATCATTGTAGGTATTCTGTTATTCTGTGCAGCTTTTTGGGGTCAAATGGCCAACTGACTTATTAAATTAGGAAAAAAATGAAATATTTTGAATCTTTATCAGCACTGGCCAAAACGCCAAATACCATATTTTTTGTGGTTCTTTTCCGGCTAATTTTCTAACCAATTGTCAGTATTTTGTTTTATAATTTCAAACCTTATGTATTCCCAAAAATGGTCTCAATCTTAGCCACCATTAAAACTCTTTGATATACCTTGGAGTCAGGAACAAACTGCAACCCTATTTCTAATTTTTTTTAATACATCTGCTAAATTCCAGTGTTTCAGTTCAGTTTTGAAACTACTATAAAAGCTATAAACATTTTGATCAAATTTGATAAAATTTTCGATAAAAATGATGCAAGCGATTTTGGATTATGAATCTTGAACGAGTATGTTTTAACAGATCTATTGTCAAAAGTTTTCATAATGAATACGTTCTCTCATGGTTTACTCAGCGAATGATGTACACAATTTAAACTATTTTCTGTCGATTTAAACTTTATCAAATACGCTTAAAATCGTACTGAGTTAAATCTACTTATAACTCGATATTCCCGAAGGTAAACTCTTTGTAGACAGAAATATAACTTGTCAAAATTTTTGTTACATTGAAGATATTACCTTACTTTGAAACCAATCAAATAATTTCCCTACATCAACGGCTCGACAGGTTTCTGCAGACCTGTCATAGCTGATATTTGACCTTTGGACAAGTGCAAATGTCCTCGAGTTTTCCAAGAAAATAACTAAGATGTACTATTTTTCTCTTCTAAGTAACTAGATTGAACCTCTCCCTTTGGTCGAGTGTTTCCTACCTCAAAATCCAAAACAGACTCTTTAGAAAGACATCTCTACAACAGAAAAAATTTCATCCAAAGATAACTTCGAAATAATTACGGGCTTTCAATTCAAAGAAATTTAGTCGACACGACTAAATTTCTTTGAATTGAAAGCCCGTAATTATTGGAACCTAAAACTCCTCCACCCCGTAACTAAATAAGCGATGTAAGGCTTTGTAAGTTGACCTCCTTTCCATACCGCCGGTCCCCTACCTGTTATCGAGATAACCCTTTACACGTACACAATGTGAAATTAAATTAAGTTTCTAGAAAGCCTTGCCTAGTGTTAATTTATAATAGGAATTAGGTTCAAAAGTTATTTCATTCACGAATTTCGCAAAATATTTTAATTCCGGTTGGCAATCCTGGAGTACCCTTACAAAACTCAACAAATTTGTTGGATTCAAACACTAATCAATTTACCTTACGAGAATCCCCACAACGGAATTGCAGACTTCACCCAACCTACAATACAAGTTATTGTAATTCGATAGTTGTCGGTTATGTGTAGGGAGTGACTGTCCCTACTGGACGAAAATACTTTCACCATGAAGTTGTTCCATGATATTTTATAAATGTTTGTTGTGAATAAATGCAATTCTAAACAACCAGAAGATTTATAAAAATAGTCTTGCACACTTTGACATTCTTTGTTCCCTTCATTTCTTATCGTTGCGAAAACTTGTCGCTTTATTCACAAACTTTTTTTTCCGATAGCTATTTGATTCCCAAGGTATGGAGTTTGTGATGGCTAGTTGGTATGTTTTGATGTTTCAAGAATGTGAGAGTTTCAAGAACTTCGTTGGGTGGGATTATTTTCTATGTTAGATTCTTAGTTATAGATTGACCACTAGGATCTAATCCCTACCGTGGGTTGCATCAAACCCAGAATTTAGATTGAAACATAGGTGACGGTGTGATGTAAGATTGTCCCGAGGTAAAATGAAATACTGTTGGGTCTCAACTAGTGCTTTGCTCTCCTCGTTAACTTTCATCAGTTTTCAATCAGCTCCCATCCACCAAGCAAGACATATATTTAACCCTATACATTGAGTTTAACCTCTTGAAGTGGAACTCACTCTGATTGGTCTTAAATTTTGTTCAACTATGTTTAAGTCATAAAAATATTTGTGTCAATCATAAAAAGGTCAATATTACTGGTTTTCTAGTATCCAACGGTGATCTTGTATGCATTCAAGAAAGGTTTTTAGATTTCTTCAAACTAAACATAAGACAAAATTCCAAACCAACCGAATAAGGATAATGAAACCTAGTAGTAGATTATAAATGAAAATGAAGTAAATTATATTATGACTAAAAGTAAATTATAAATTAGTAAATTAGTAAATGACTAAAAGCTGTGGTAATATAGGCACCCTAACAAATACAGTTTAATTATAAAATAGATGTAGACCTACTTGATTTAAAGGAATAAAAAATTATCATCTTGTTTGACTTGTCCATTTTTTCCTGTCACTTTTTTTTCTTTTTTTTCTCTAACAATCCTCCTGGAAAACCAATTTGCAAATTCTTTGTAATTGTTCACAACCAGTATTTTGCAATTTAATTAGAGGAGATTTCTTATCAGTTCTTTAAGTCAAAGTTAGTTTTACGTTTTCCATCAAATCAGTAAAAAGGCAATACATATAAGATTATAAACAAAACATAGCTTGGGCCTTCATGGATAAAAGACAAGTCTATTATCATGCCTTATTTTGAATACCTATAATACACAAAGGAAGACCATGAGAAATATTCCGAAGTAAGTGAATATGTGGCTACAGTTTCATGATGATTTATAACTGCACATGTATGGTCACATGTATGTCATGCACCTGTAAAGTAGATGAAAAGGGACAGAATGATAGACATCTAGTGTGAATGGTGATTTGAGCTTTTCAATCTGCTTGCGCTGAAAACGTGACGGACATTTGTTCTTCCAGTAGCTGTTCGAACACTTTTGATGCAGTCGATAACCATCACGAGTGTTCGCGAAAATGGAACGTTGTCGTTGACAGGCCGGTCCTTTCGGTGCAGTGCTTCTCTTCGCATGAGCGCATTGATCTATTGCGCCATTTATGTAGTTCTTGATGCAGACAGTATTATTACTCACTCTTCACTGAGTAGTGATGTGATGGCTTCATTTCAGTCTGAGCTGGAACGGTGTAGTGATGAGGTGTGCCAGTTCCATCGTAGAAGATTTTTGTTTGATTACTGAGTGCATGCAATCTCACTTCGCAAAATTTAAATTTGTTTCCTTTCATTCATTTTAACAGTTCGTTGTTATATTATTTTCGGCATATAGTAGGGACATGATTGTTTCCGCCCCTTCTCTTCGGAGCCTGTTAATGTTTTCCTTCACCAGAGTATGGTGAGATGCAATTTACATATTCTCCCTGGGAACTTCGAAACATGCCTCGTGATTTTTCAGCCACCGGAGAAGGGAATGATGCAACTACCACAACCCTAGGGGCGTTCAGACTTCCGTGATTGACCGACATCCTTCACTTGAAGCGTAGTTCTCGATGGAGCCCAGACTGCGATGCATTCACTTTTCTCTCAGACAGACAGACACACCTTCTTTAACGACCTTCAGGTTCATGAACGGCCGCCGACGTGTCTCAGAGTGCATCACATCGCTTGGACAGCAGATCCCGTCCACGCAATCGACACCATTACTTTCTTCGCTACTTTTCTATTTCTCTGCTGCCGACAAGATTTCTTGCAGAGTTACAAGATCCATAGTCAGCTCGCGAACATAAAATTCTCAGCTGTGGAGGCTTTTCCTAAGATCTGTGGTGGTGTGAGAGCTCCCCAATCGAACATATGCCCCTGCTAGACGACTAAGACGAGGCGGGTCTGCGTGATGGGCATTCAGACGGGAGACGACGAGAAACCCCAATCAACAATCATTCGACAGTAAAACGCGCTCTAGACACTGGTGCGCTTCAAATGAGTTGATTGGACATCTTAACTGCCCATCACATGTCAAGTACAAATAGGCAATTGGAGAGCTTCACGTTCTAAATTGTTCGATCGACGATAAGTTTGTGCACTTACTTATTGTGCCACACTTGCCCAGGAAGGTGAGGTGACCAGCGGATATGCGTGACAAACCAATCGACGTCTGATTGCTATCAGTGACACCAAAATGTGAACTTTGTTCCTGGCTACTGACGGCAGAACTCACACACGGGCGGCTGTGCATACTTCTGACTCACGACATCGTGCACCTCGCGCGCTCGAAGCCGAGCACTTATCGACAGTGTTGTGCTGGCTGCGGCGCTCGGATGATAATTGGAGAAAAAAGACAGGTGCCAAGCAGGCGAATCCTCAAAATCAGCAGGAGCTACTCACCTCCGCTTTACCTCAAAGTCAGTGGCGATGCACCTGATCCGCACCGGGTCGTGCCTGAAGATCCGAAATCGCAGGCAGCCATTTGCCGAAGGCCCAGATTCCGTGACATAGAGGTTTAGATGAGGCCACTAATATGAGGATGAAAGGCCGGAGCAGATAGCGGCCTCAGAAGCCATATCAACTTAAATTTGAGTGCCTCCATCAGCTTTTGCTTCTGACAACTCGTTCTTGTGACCATAATCACAAGGATCATCTATACAGACCTACCAAAAGAATCATCCCTCAACTCTTAAAGCTTCGTAAAACTCAAAAAATCGAGCTCTGGTAGGGATTTATACAGAGTTTTAGCCTCAATACTCTACAGAAAATTCTGAGGCCCGTCGATCGTGCTGCAGCGCAAGCATACTGCGTCTACTCGGCAGTATCCGGACCAGTATCTCGGCACAACAATTGGCACGTAGCAAATATGAAAGGAAGAGGATGGTGAGGAGGAGCATTGGGGGAGTCGAGTCGAGTCGAGTCGAGTCGAGTCGGGGGATCGACAGCATCATCATCATCATAAAATATCGCCTCTGGACCGTGGTCGACTCCTGCGCCTGCGGCTGGTGGAGCCTAGATTGCCTTCGCTAACATTTACAGTGCTGCCGGTGTGATTGGCGACGGCAGCGCCGAGGCCATTGCCTTGGAAGGTCTCGCCCCAGAGCGCTTGGCGCATCATGGGGTTGCCGGGGCCGCGAGTGAGGCGGCTGGTGCGCCCGGGGAAGCCCCGGCCGCCGGCGAAGGGGGCAGCGGGGCCGAAGACCTGGAAGAGCAGGAACACGGTCCACCAATTGCCGTCGTCGCCCGGGAAGTCGCTGTCCTCGCCGTCGTCCTCGTGCTCCTCCTCCTCGTCCTCGATCACATAGTCGCCCAGCACGGTGGCGCCCGGCATGGCCGACCGGATGGTGCTCAGCACGTCGCCCAGATCTCGCTGCCGCTCTAACCGTCGCCAGTCGCGCTGCCGCACGGGGTCGATGTCCGAGGGCCTGGCCGTCGGGTGCACGGCCCGCGCGTGCTCGCGCAGCTCCTTGTAATTGCCCGTGAACCCGCAGGCCTCCTGCGCGCAGCTCCGGGGCTTGCGATTGAGCTGGTGCCTGGCCGGCTCCACCACCGTCCACCCGAACACCTTGCCCCGGCACAGCGGGCACAGCAGGTCGGCCAATTCCGCCCCGGGCTCCGCGCCTGCTGCCCCTACCCCAACCCCTGCCCCTTCCGACGCCCTCGCCTCGCCCAGCCCCAGCTCCAGCACGGGCCTCTCTAAGCCCAACCCCGCACTCCCCTCGGGCAGCAGCAGCTCCGCACCGCCCAGCCTCTCCGGGCCGGGAAGCGGATCTCGCGGCGGGAAGCCCCGGACTACCGCCCTCTCCCGGGGTGGCCTCGGGGGCGCTAGCGCTTGCGCCGAGCGCAGAATCGTGCCCCCGACGCCTCCTCTCTCGAGGGGCAGGGGCAGTCCGCCCAGCGCCTCCTCGCGGCGCATCAGCCCCCGCAGCGCTGCCCCGAAGGGCCTGAACGTGTGCCGGTGGCCGCCCACGCCCACCCCCAAGCCCTCGTCGCCCACGCCGCCCTCGGCCACGCTCACGGGCACCCCCGCGACGCTCTCGATGGTGGCCTCGGACGCGCGGTCGGTTAGCTTATCGGTTGCGGTCTTGGCCTTCCTGTACTGGTCGAGGCAATTGGAATGGCGGTAGCTCGTGTCACACATGTAGGGGCGGCAGCCCTTGTCGTGCGAGCTGCACATGAGCAGCACGGCATTGTGCGGGTACTCCATGCAAATCGGACATGTCGACTCCTCCCAATCCTTCTTCGCCGCCTCCTCGCCTTCTTTCGACGAGCTTCCCTGCGCCACTCCTCGTCCCTGGCTGGGATACGGTCTACACAGCGTGCCTCGCGATTTCGGTGACAGTAACGATCGGCTGCTCGGATCCTTCGGCATAATGGTCCGCCTCTTGAGTCCAAACCTGTAGCAACAAGCGCCGTCCACAGAGAGAGACAGAGCTTCACGAGTCAGGCTTCGGACGAAGAACGAGGCGACGACGATGCGAGGTCGACGACACGACGAGGAAACAGAGTTTCCCGGGACGACTGACACAAAGACGCCGAGCGCGGCGGTGCCAGACCTGCGAATTGGACTGGACAGGACTGCCCCGCCCCGACGCTGCAAGAAGAGGGTGGCGAATCATCGAGAGGTGCGAGAGCAGCCACCGCAGAGCAGGCCTGCCGATCTTGCACTTGGGCGGGGTCGTGCCCCGGGGTAACAGTTCATGAGCGACCGGTGGGGCACAGGCGCGCAACCAGAACGAAACAAGATCACATAACACTCGCATATCAAGAAAAACGGATGTGTGGTGGCAAAAGGACGGACACACAGCTGAGAGCGCATGTGAAAAAGGCTGTATTCAGGCGCAAGGCAAATGGCTGCAAGCAGAATCGGGTCGAAATACAGAGCATAACCGTGCTTGGCAGAAGCAGTGGGCGACTCGGGGGCAGGAAAATGAGAAAAAAATCCCCTACAGCTCCGCCCGACACCGCAATCTGTCGAGATTGGCACCGAGCCCGGCGTTCTTACACGCCGGCCCTGGCGGGAGCCAATCCTGCAGAAAACTCCAGGAAACCACGGCAATGACGCCTCATCCAAGATCGGCAAAATTCGACATCGGCGACTTCCACACTTTGCATTGCCCGCAGGACATCACAGTGGTAGGAAAGAGTTGCGACGCGAGACGAGACAATCACACATGTCTTGGGAGAAATTTGAGCCATATTATCGATATATATATATATGCACCGACCAGGACTCCATGCAAGGCCCCGATGAACTAACCGAACGGAGCCTCGCGGGAGACAGGCGACTCAAAGCACAGTATCGTTACGCACGATACCTATAAACTCGAAAAAGTTCGTTAAAAGAATGGTCAGGTAGCGTTGCTCCTATACAGGGAATTAGCCTGCACGGCCCTGGAGACTACAGAAACCTGCTCTGCAAATTATCGACGGCTACATGTCAGAAATGAAAGGAATTGTCTATCGAAGCAGATGATCACACGCGGCGAGGCGTATCCCGGCACCTCACACTCAAATTTTACAGCAACCACGACAGAGCGGAAACCTGGCAGAGCAGAGCAGAGCAAGCGACTGTCAAACCACACACGAGGATCAATCAAGAGCTTCGAAGCAACCCACCACCCCCGAAGAAACCAATTTTCTTCCACGAGAACGAGCGAGCCAGCAATCGACGTTCGAGCACTCCGGACGTGCGCTGCAAGCCACGACTCTCCTCCTGCTGGTCGCCTTTCTTCCTCCTCCTCCTCCTCGACAATCTCCAACAACTCCTCCCGTCCAGCCAGCCGCCCTCCGTGCGAGTCCAAAGCTCTTTCACCACCACGCCTCCTCCTCCTCCTCTCGCTCCTCGTCCTCCGACCGACCTCCTCAACTCTCGAGCGCTAATCCTCCTCCTCCTCCTCCTCCTCCTCCTCCGCCCAAATAATAAAATAAACACTCCCGATCCGTGCTCGCTCGTCTTCTTTTGTATCTCCTCGCCCCCTTCTCCTCCGTCCTCCTCGTGCTCCTGCGCTTGCGTGCCCTTGCCGACAAACCAACAGATCCACCACCGCGCGCGCGTCGTCCTCTCGTCGTCAATCCCTCCAATCCCTCGTCAATCCCTCTACTCTACTCCTCGCCCCCCTCCTCGCCCCTCTCCTCGAAACATCCACAAAACTCACACCCTCCGCTCCGCTGCGGGAGATACGAGAGAGGGTGTCGCCCCGCTCAAAGACACATTGGCCTCTCCTTCCTCCTGAAGATCGCTCGCTCTTCGCTCGCTCGCTACCTCGCTGCTGCTCACGGAACACAAAGGACTCCAGCCCCAGCCCCAGCACCGCCCCAGCCCCAGCCCCTGCCCTGCCCCCGCCTCGCCTGGCTTTGCCTTGCCTGCCTCCCCGCAGCAGCCCAAGCCCAAGCCCAACCCCAGCCCACCTGCTTGATCGCTTTGCCTGCCTGCCTCCCTGATGGTGCCTCTGCAAAGCGGAGAAATGAGCACATCCTCGAGGGGACCGGGCAGTTCCTTACAAGCGCTGCCTTACCTCCTGCTTCCTCCGCCGCGATCGCCACCGCACGATCTCATCGCCCCGGCCCGCTCCCTCCATCTCCATCTTGGCCCGTCCGCTGTTTTGGCCCCGCTTCAGCGCCTCTCGTCGCCTCCGCTCCGCCTCTAGCCACCTTGCCACCCCACTTCCTTCTTGGCGGCTTCCCCCACCGCTGCTGCCTCACGACCTCCATGTGCGTATTCGCCCTCCCCCGGCCCGTCCATCAGTCCCACTTCGCGGTTTATTCTTCGTTAATTACCACGAAGCCCCGCCCCGTCATTCGTCAGGTGAAAATAATACGATTCTCCCTCCGACCTAAACCGTCCGATTCGCCATCGGACGGGTCACTGAGACTTCTCATCTGTGAGATCATCTCGTGCCCATCTTAACCCTCTGCACTTTGACCGCTATGGGGCGGATGCCTGTACCGCTCGATCTACTCCCCCTCCTCCCCGTCACCTACTACTCCGCGAGTATAATTGCTCGTCGATGGGGGGTTGGGGTTGGGATTGGGGTGGAGGAAGAGGCTGGAAGGGAAGCTTTTGCACCGTTGGCTCCGGAGCGCGATCGGCATCCGACGGCGCTCGGGCTCCCGGGGCTTGGATTCCGGGTCCGCGGAATGTGACGAGCCGGTTTCGCCCGCCGTTTTCGGCCGCAAGATCGACGCCCGGGCCCGGGAATGTCTAGAGCCCGTCGCAGGAGACCGGAGGTTTAGGTGGGCTGTTACGCTGGTACCCGGTAATGGAAGTTTCTGCACACGGCACGACTCCTCTGAGGCCGCGATCTAATCCGGAGGATTCAAGGACTCGGCCGAACCGGTGCACGGCTGCTAGCCGGTTCCCGGCTTCGCTTAGTACGGGTCATCGTTACCGCCGAGCGACGACTGACCATAACAGCGGGTCTTGGTCGGAGACGGCTAATGCAAGTTGTCGATGACGGTCGGTCCCGGGGAAAACCGGACCCTGCCGGTACTCCGTGCGTTAATTGCCCGCCGCGCCTGTCGGACAGCGGACTGTGCCCCGTCACATCCGTCTCCGGAGCCCTCGAGGTTTTCTGTTGCCACCGGTCACCGGGAAACCTCCTGTACCCCGGCAGTCAGCCGTCGGTCGAGGTGGAAAAACCCTACCCACGGTTACACCCGGTAATCCAGTCACGGGAATATCTTGCATGGGGCGGACGGTTTCATCCTCGGGCGATCTTCAACGACCGGCCCTTAGGTAGGAAAGGTACAGCACTTCCGTATCGGAGACCGCAAGAGTACGAGCCCGTCGCGCCCGGGGACCGGTCACCAGACCAGGCACCTCGCTGCCCTCTTCGTTCTTCCTTCTCCTCGTGACCGACGACTGACCACGGCACATCCCGACGATTTTCGGACCAGTATCCGGTCGCATAACGGGCTGTAGCCTGTCTTCGTGTCTGTTCCGAAGCACGCTTATCCAGCCCCACGTCCATGACAGAAGTCAGAAGGCTGTCCCTTATGGCCGAACCCCAGAGCACGTCGCCCCTGGTCTGGTTACTTAACCGGAGCTAGGCCCAACTGTTTCTGCTAGCTCTGTATGAGTTCGAGATTGGAAACGTATGTTGATCATTCCAGCCCATTGGAATATTTATCTGCTCTCTAATGGTAGAAGCAAAAATATATTCCCCATTGGTATCATTCCCCATTCCTTTTCCTGCACTTTCTCCAGATCTGGGTTTTAGCTTTTTTACTTCACCCCCATAATTAGTGATTGAGATGCTGACTGGGGTTCGTACCTTAGCCTCCAACTATGGATCATTAAAATCGGAGGTTAAAAATAGACCATCGATAACAGTTGAGCGGAGTTGGGCATTTCTGTAAAGTTCATGAGGGCTTCGTAATAATTGCCTCGCAGAATTTATATTATTTATTTATTTATTTCAAAGGATATATTTTTGGGGGTTCAAATAGAATGGTTAAAATTTGCTCTACCGTAGCAACTTCTATCAATGTGTACAACTTGCTCATTTGGTACTCGAAAACTTGAACAAGTGGATCTTAGATAAAGAATCCGAGAGGCTCGCTTTCACTCAACCTTTGTGCATTGTTGACATTCGACCCCTTTTGCGATTTGGTTTCAAACACTTGGAGTAGATCTCACGTCATCAATGAGTTTCCAAATCTCTTTCTTTCTACAAGATCCATAAATCGCTACAGGAAGTGTTGTTTGGTTTCAAATTTAGATGGCAACTTCTTCATAGGCGGAGAGTTTGTCTACCACAAGTGTAAATATAATGAAGATGATTTCTATAGTGGCTTGGATTCATATCTCAACCTGTTGAATCAATCTCACATGCTACATGTGCCGAGCCTCCTAAGGACTCATCACATGGGGACAGTGTGAAATAGAAATTGAAGTATGCTTACATGTTACTTCCAAGTATCCAACCAACTTTCAAATAGCGTTGAAGATGTCTGTCGGTCATAGTAATGATGCATTCTTTGGATCAAAGAAGTTTCTGTCATATAAGTTCGGCTAATTAATTATTAGCCGGAATTTCATTATTGTGAAATTGGCACTTCAATTCATGAAATTATCGAAAACTCATTTTATGATGTCTGAAACACTTATCAGGGCATCCTAAAAGCGTATCCGGTGAATAATCATTATCTACATATGAATTGACTTCTTTAAGGTCAGAAGTTATTATGGATGTTTGAGCCCTCCCAAAGTATGACATTATTTATTTATTATTATAAATGGAAAGAAATAAGTAAAAAATTATAATAATCAATTCTTTATATGTTCCAAAACTTCATTAATTCCTTTCAAAGAGCTCAAAATAATTGGAAATTGTTGTATGTCTTTTGAACATGTTTGGCATGCCCTTTGTTTTCGTTGAAGAGAAGGTCACGGAACCTGCAAGGCATGAACCGTCACCAGATCACCAGATTCAGCAATCGATAAAATCCGCAAGAAAGTAAAAGGAGAATATAAGACCTCAACGGTTTTGCGCATTACTCCCACAAGGACGCCATTATGTGAAGAGAAACTCCCTTTCCATGACCCTTTTGATAATGCTGATCAATCCCCATGAGAAAACTAATGAAGTAAGTTGAGAAAGTACAATCAAGATATGCATGAAAATGTAATATTTGGGGGAAATTTAATAACTCTAGTTACATTAGAGTTGGAGAGGGATGAGGAAGAAGATTAGGCGAATGTGAGTAGTTTTTGAGTTTAGATTGAACAGAATATGTGAATTTTTTTCTTAATTATGTTTCATGAAAAAATACAATAAAAATGGAGAATGCCTTTCACTTTCGATTTTTCTTATACGAAATATGCATCAAGCTTTATTTCTTTCAAGTCTATTACTTCATATACTTTTTTCAAAGATATAACACAAAGAATGTATTCAGAGCTATACGTTCATGAGCGTTGAAAATGAAGCAGTTTTTAGCAATATAGAGTTTTTGATTGATTTATTGATAATATTTTTACATTGTGATGGTAATGGACCCCAGTCCAATCCACCCCTCGTTTCATCCCCACAAGACTCCGACGAGGTTGTCCCCTATCTTTCCCACACAACTCGCCACATAGTGACAAAGATAAGAATTGTTGCAGACCCTGGTCCTGTAATCCACACACTTGCGTCTACAGCTGTTTTCTTCGGTGCGATACAGGTGACCGAAGCGGTACTGGCCGGTGGCCACAGAATGTGAGGACGACTACCGACTTCCCGACGGAAGACCGGCTACCGTGCAGGAGAAGCATCGTCATGAATGAAGGCGATCAATGAGCAACCGCTTATAGCAAGTACCCGAAGATGTCCCTGTCATGTGCGGCGGCCAAGGTCCACATCCATTATTAGGAAAAAGCTCCACTCTGCTCGAGGTCAGAGGCCGCCGCAGTTCCTCTACAGTACTCGGTACCAGTTATCCTCAAGTTCGCTTTCCGCTCCAGCAACGCAGTAATGAAGGAATGCAGTGACGCAGTAACTCAGTAGCGAAGAACAACGACGGAAAATTCTCCGAGCCCACCTTCCCCGATCGTGCCTTTCCCGACCCTCCTCACGCCTGGAGATCTCAAAGCATGTGAAGGGACAAAATATTTCAACCACTGTCCTTTTCTATACGACCTGGTATTATAATGGAGTGTACGAACCGGCCCCTGTACTTCCCATCGTGCCCAATTTAGTCATTCCCCACATCCGAGCCTCTTGCTTCGACCGGTCTGGCGAAAATATTGTCTGCACCACAGTGCGGCCGAAGTCTTTATAATATTCGGCCGAAAATTTCAGTCCTTTCGTATGGAGAAATGATTCACCTCCCGACGGATTTCTTCCACTTGGCTTTGACTTCTGTGCGTTGAATTCCTCGAGAGGATTTCAAGTCAATTACTACCTGTTAGGTTGTCAATCCCTACGGGAGACAACCGGTTACCTACAATGTCGGACAATTTTCTCTGCTCTATGACTTCTCCTCTTAACCCTGGTCATTCGCTAACCACCGATTTCCTCTCCCGTCAGGTTTGCTCTCTAGTGCGGTTAATCTGATAAAGGAGGTGATCGCCCAGACCATACTGGTAGCGCAATCAGGCCTTTTTTAGTAGCCCAGTTGTCTCCTTTTTTGTCTTTTTTGGTGAGGTCATGTCGTGACCTGGAGGTCTGTAGTAGTACCTGTGAGTGACATGGCAGAGGTCTCCTGTGCGCAGTTAACCGTCAATAGCCCGGGGCCTAGAGCCCGAATGCCCGAAAATAGTCTGGTAAATTTATCACAACTTGTGATGACGGGTCAAACACGTCGCAATCAGCTTTCGTCATTGGTGCTGTAAAAAAGGCGAGCTCTTGCATGGGCTGGGTAACTGGCCACAGTCAGTCTTCGGTTCTTCGTAAATATGACTGGATATCATCAGTAGGTGGACGGGTCTGGCCGGGTGCTTTCTGAGAACTGGTCAGAA